AGTAAGTTTAAAGATGTTGAGGTAGGAACATCTGACTTGTGCGACAAAGAAAGAGTTGGATGTCCTGTGACAGCAACCACTCAGTTTCACAAGCAAAAGGTTGACAGATTGATTCAGGACAATCGTCATATCACTCAGAGAGAAATTTCAAGCATAATCGGCATTTTACAAGAATATGTGGGTCACATTATTGCTTTGCTTGACTATCGGAAGATCTGTGCACAATGGGTACACAGCAGAACTTCAGAGACTGGATCTCACCACCGCACGGCATCCTGCCTACAGCTAAGATTTAACATCGTCTAACTTCCATCTGTTCCCAATAACAAAAGAAGATCTGCGGGGACATCATTATGCTTCTGATGAAGACATTGAGAACTGTGAGACGCTGGTTGCAGAAACAGAATGTCAATTTCTTCCGTGACGGCTTCAGAAAACGTGTTCATTGTTGGCAGAAATGTATCCAGTTGTCTGGTGATTATGTGGAAAAATGAATAGTGGTAGTTAAATGGCACAATCAAGGATTGTTTCTGCATTTGATTTATTAAACTATTCCCATCCAAACCCAAGTAACGAAGGTGGAGACATTACTTTTCATTCAACCCTTGCAGCTAAAATTATGGCACACTAAGGTAAAGGTAAAGGTTGTCCACTGACACGAAGTCCAGTCATGTCTGACTCTGGGGTGTGGTGCTCATCTCCATTTCTAAGCCAAAGAGCTGGTGTTGTCCATAGACACCTCCAAGGTCATGTGGCCGGCATGACTGCATGGAGCGCCATTACCTTCCCACCGGAGCGGTACCTATTGATCTATTCACATTCGCATGTTTTCAAACTGCTAAATTGGCAGAAGCTAGGGCTGACAGCAGAAGCTCACGCCACTCCCCAGAATTGAACCTGCAACCTTTTGGTCAACAAGCTCAGTAGCTCAGCGCTTTAACCCACTGCACCACCGGGCACATTGGAAGGGGAAAAAAACCAATTACCAGTCCCCCACATCAAACTTATTGGGAGCACTGTCTTTAGATGATCTAGCTACTTTCGTGGCTCTTTAAATAAAGTGTAAGCCAATCCAATCCAATAAGCCTTTATTGACACACACACACACATATATATATATATATATAGCAAAAAAGTATAAAATACAGTAAAACTTATAGAAAATGGAACTTCACATTTGCTACAAATTCAGTTTACAGCCTTCGTTCAGGAATCTTGCCACTGAAAGGCAATGGTTAAAATCTTGGCAGTTTAAAAGCATAATTTGTCTAGGCCAGTATGGTTTTTCAAAGAATCTATAACTTGTAGCGGTAAGCTAGATCATACTTCCTGGTAAAATGAACAGTGCAGAAGAATATGTGGGATGGAGTCCAGCTGTCCAGTGCTAAAGGGACAAATCCTCTTATCGCTCGGTTGAGCCTTCCTCTATGGAGCAGAGATGGCATAATATTAAGTCTAGCCAGCATGTAGGCTCTATTGTATGTGGGGTTAGTCAGTGCTGCAATATAAAAAGCTGGGTTTCCCTGGATGAATGAGATTGCCATGTTCATAGGCGAACAGGATTTGTTGGCCAAGCTCAGCAGTTGGTTATAATCCCTTTCTAGCAAACTCTTTTTAATGAGGGTAAAGATCTCAGTGAAAGTTAGCAGGTGTAAGCATTGGGGGACTTGAAGTCTACTTTGTACACCTTCAGGAACCATGTGGTAAGCACAATATTACACAGGTTGTAAAGGAATCTGCAAACTGCAGCACTCTGCCCTCCAGTGGTAAAACACTCAATTTCAATTACTAAAAATAAGTACAAGTTGAGCAGCATCTCTTATTTGGAGTTCTGAAATACACTAAATCCAAAATTGCCTTCATGAGTGGCTCAGAGAGTGACACCTTTGCTTCCTGATAGTTCAGTGTACACAGACTTTGCTTTATGTACAAAATTATGACATATATTGTTCAAAATGAATGTGCCTATAAGGTATATATGAAACATAAACAATTTTCATGCTTAGACCAAGGCATAACATTATGTACCAATATGCAAATACAGGTATTTCAAAACCTGGAAAAAGGTTGCCATCTAAAACATCTGGAACACATTAGGAGACCATTAACACTCAAGAATTATAGTACTGTGATTCCACTTTCCGCTGAAGTGGTACCTATTGATCTACCCACATTTACATGTTTTCAAACTGCTAGGTTGGCAGGAGCTGGAGCTAACAGCAGGAGTTTACCCTACTCCCTGAATTCGAACTGCTGACCTTGCAGTCAGCAATCTCAGGAGTTCAGCAGTTTAACCTGCTGTGCCATCAAGGGCTCAAGTGGCACTATAATAATATAATACCACTATACTGTATAATACTATAATTGTGTAAATGTGTAATCTCAATAGGTTTAAGGTTGGAAAAGGCGAGTATCTTATTAAAACACTAATCTCTCTGTTGCAGATTCACCGAGAAATGTGACATTCAGCATCACTCGAATTTCCAGGAGAGACCCTACCTTTTCTCAAGGTACCATTAACTTTTGGGGTGTAAAAATCAGTATCTGATGTCTTTTTCTGGAGGTGGGGGTGATGCTGTCTGCAATAAGAAGTTTTTTTGATCTTTTATGGAAATCACTGGTGTTTTACTGTGGTTACAGGTTTTCCCCCAGAAGTGGCACATGGCAACAAACTGATGGCTCAGGAAGGAGAGACGTTGCACATACTGTGCCAGGTGGATAGCAACCCTCCTTCCAGAATCCACTGGATCAAGCCAGGCGGGAAGACCTTGAAACAGGCTAACTTATTAGAACTGACTGAACTGACAGCAGAAGATGAGGGTGCATATGTGTGTCATGCCAATAACATTATATATTCAACTCAGGAGACCTTCCAGCTCTATGTAGCATGTGAGTGAATCAGGATGGGGGTTACTTTCTGGATATCTTTGACACCAGTGAAGCCTGATCTCCTACACTACAAGGCATCCCTTTCCATCTACTGGGAGATTATGCGAATACTGTACTGTATACTGTAGAATTAATGCAGTTTAGCGCCGCTTTAACTTCCATGACACATTGCTATGGGAATGTGGGAGTTGTAGTTCGGGAAGTCAACACTTTTATGTTTCTTGACACAATGGTTTGGTTCCAGTTGAAACTAGCAATTTGTTTGAAGCCAATACATTTAATGTAGTTTCAATTAACTTCTTGAAACTGCATTAATTTTTTGTGTGTCAGAAGCAATTTGAGTAACTGTGAGAGAATTGGCCGTCTGCAAGGACGTTGACCCAGGGATGCCTGGATGTTTTGATGTTTTACCATCCTCGTGGAAGACTTCTCTCATGTCCTGGCATGTGGAGCTGGAGCTGACAGAGGGAGCTCATCTGCGCTCTCACCAGATTCGAACCTCCGACATGTTGGTCTTCAGTCCTGCTGTCACAAGGGTTTAACCTATTGCGCCACTGCATTAAATGCTCAGTACAGATGTTCCCAAAACAGTACTGGCTCAGCAGAATGTGAATTGCTTTGTGGACACCCAGAACACTTTGTTGATGTACACATGCATTCTGGTGAGAACTTAAAACACATTCTCCTTGGCTGTCAAGCCACAGATACTACAGATCCTGGATATCTGTAGTTTGTGTAATCACCATCTGGGCCTCGAACCAGCTCCAGGATTACCAGTGTAATCAACTGAATACCAATAACGCTTTCTTCTATATTGGTTCAAAATTGACCTAAGTGATCAGTATAGAGGTGTCGTTGGACAAAGAAAACCAATCCACAATCTCCCAATGACCTCTAATGGATGCTTTGTAACTATGGATGGCATTTTTGCACCACTGTTTTATCACTCCTTGGTTTCTTCTGCTCCTTTCCAGATGCCCCCAAGCTCAATGATGACCCTCAGAGAAATGCTACATGTTGGCAACAGGACAACAGCTTTCTCTGCAACTGTTCCTTTATGGCCCAACCTCCACCGCAGGTTCAGTGGCAAGTAGATGGAGAAATTATAACTGAGAAGAAGAGCAAAAAGAACCAAAAAGTAACTTCTTTAATCCAGAAGAATGAGGTCACCAGCACTCTCAACTGGACAGGCAATCTGGAGGTGGACCATGATATCATATGCATTGGGCACAATTTTTTTGGGACCTACAGGATGCAGCTCCCCTTCAGTGCCTTGGGAGCCTCCATCACCACAGAGTCTTATACAGGTGAGGGGCTCTACACAGGGTCAAAATGGGAGAAATTTCAAAAGGCAAATAGGCCAGGCAATACTGTAAAGCAGTGGCAAAAGCTCTCCTGTTCAGACAGGAGTAGTTCAATGGTGGTTGAAATCTCCCAAGTAAGGGAGGGAGGGAATCCAGTCCAGGCTTTAATCACAGTTTTCAAGGAGCTCTCCAAGGTACCAAACTCAAAATAGCTTCAGCACTTTGAGTCCTTCTTTGGAGGTGAGACGGACAGGATAGAAATGACCGAAATAATAATAATAATCTATATAAATAAAAATGTAATGTTAGTTTGTGGGATTAACATAACTCAAAAACAACTGGACGAATTGACACTAAATTTGGACACAACACACCTATCAGGCCAACGGGTGACCATCACTCATAAAAACACTCAAGAACTGACAGCAGAAGAGACTTATAAAGCCTATATACACACACACACACACATACATTACAGCACATGCACAAAACCACATATATTTATGCAAACACACATATATACATACACATATACCCAAATATACACACACACACAAAACACATATACGCAGACTGGGCCACAACAATGTGTGGGGGATGGATAGTAATAATAATAATAATAATAATAATAATAATAATAATTCTGACCTCACAATCGTGTTAAAAAACAAAGTATGGATCATCGATGTTGCAATCCCAAGCAACAGCAGGATTGAAGAGAAACAACTGGAAAAGCTGACATGATATGAGGATTTAAAGATCCAACTGCAAAGACTCTGGCACAGGCCAGTAAAGGTGGTCCCAGTGGTGATCGGCACACTGGGTGCAGTGCCTATAGACCTTGGCCTGCACTTAAACACAATCTGTGCTGACAAAATTGCCATCTGCCAGATGCAAAAGGCCACCTTACTGCGATCTGCACACATTATTTGCTGATACATCACACAGTCCTAGACACTTGGGAAGTGTCTGACATGTGATCCAATTCAACAGCCAGCAGAGTGATCTTGTTTGCTGAGGACTCATCTTGTTGTGTTTCAAATAATAAGAATAATAAGAATAAGAATAAGAATAGTGTTCATTCTGACAGCCCTTTTTCTTAAAGACCTGCTGTGAGAAAAGGAAGAGAATTTTCTGTGATTGGGGGAAGTGAAAAATCAAAAGTCTTGAAACCGAATCCTGTTTTCCTTTCCTTCTGAGATCTTGGTGTATCATTGCAGGAAGCCCTGCAACTGTGCTCATCTCTGGACTATGCGGAGCCTTGCTGGGAGTTGGTTTCTTCATGCTGGGCCTGTTTTTGCTCAAGTGAGTTTATCTCTCTTCTCATGTTCTATAAGGTAATGTAAAAAAGCAGTACATGTTAGATTCTAGGATTATCACTAGATAATCCTAGATCATTTTTTTTCTAAATTCTTCCTTAGTCCTACACACCCATGTTCTATCCTTTCCATGCTCCTTGTCTTGACAGATTCCAAGTTTCAATATGCAAAATGCAGAACTGATAACTGATAATTTTAGAATCATCAAATTGAAAGCGACCATAAGAGTAATCTAGTTCAGTCTCCTGCCATTTAGAAATATGCAGTAGTTGCCACTGTGTTTCCATGGATTCAGAATTCAGAGATTCCGACAACCACAGACTGAAAATATATCCCGGCTTCAAAAATAAACCCTTGATTTTGACATTTAATATAAAGGGCACCATTTTGGCATTTTGTATCATGGAGCTTGAGCATCCATACATTTTGATTTCTATGGTAGTCATGAAATCAAGCCACAGTGGATACCAATGGTCCACCTGCGAGATGGCCATCCAGTACCTGCTGAAAGGCTTCTAGGGAAGGCAAAGACACCCAGTTTTGATGCATGTCATCCCACTGTCGAGTTGTTCTGTCAGAAGGGTCTTATTAATAGTTACCTCTGTTTTCATGTAAATATAAACAAATAAAACTTTATTTATATACTGATCTATCTCCCCTAGGGGACTCAGGACGGTTTCTAAATAGCAAAACACCAACATGCAAAACATAAGCATAGAATTATCAAAACAATTGTAATTGTAATCTATTGATTTATGTCAAACTCTGAAACAGGAGAAAACAAACTTCTGCATCAGTGCTACTCAAAGTGATAGATAACCCCTGGATCAGAGCCGATCCTCAAGCCATCTGCTACTGGTTCCCTGAGAGTGTCTAGGAAAGAAAGAGATGTAGCTAGTAGGCATAGTTAGGTTTGGTCGGAATCTTCATAATTCAGAATGAATTCGGAAAGATTTACTTTTTGAAGTTTTTAAGGAAACTGGAAGTCCCTTTGCTCTTCCAAAGCTTTTTCCACCATTTCTGTTACGAAGCAGTAAATGAGTCGGAAATGATTCAGCTTTTTCCCGCTTCTGGTCACTGGCCTTGTCTCAAGCCAGAGAAGCCATTTTAAACCAGAGTGAATGAATTTCCTCCCTTTCCTCTCCCCCCGCTTGTGTCTCAAGCCTGGGAAGCCATTTTAAACCAGAGAAGGATGTATTTCCTCCCTTTGCTCCCCCCCCCCCCAACTTCTGGAGTAAAACAACTACTTTTAAAATAAAGACCATCCAATGAAACAGAAAATAACACTTTCAAACCATTAAGGAAGGATTCGGAAGTCTCGGAAGTTTTGAAAAGTTTTGAATATTTTTTTCTGTGAAAATCAAAATTGACTTTAGAGTCGAACTACATACTAAATGAGTTTTGAACATTTTTTTAATCAAACAAGCCTAGTAGCTAGTGATCACAAATATGGTGCTGGTCCCTGGCACACTGAGGAAAATTGCCAGTCTCTCACATCAAAGAGCTATCTTTCAAGCTGGCTCTACACTGCCACATAATGCAGCTCCAGATTGGAGATTAACAGCATTGAACTGGATTATATGAGACTACCCTGCCATATAATCCAGTTCAATGCAGTTGATCTGCAACCTGAAACTGCATTATATAGCAGCAGGGATTCAACCTAAGTCTTATCCTTTCCAAGTTAAACATATTTACTTAGTTCACTAACTCATTCTTTATAGAGTATGTTTTCAAGACCTTTTACCATCTTAGTTGCCCTTCTAGGTTGACAATATCTTTCTTCAACTGTGGTGCCAAGAACTGGACACAATATTCCAGGTGTCCGTTCATGCTACACAATAATAACACCATACCCTGCTTTAAATGTCATGACCGTGTCCCAGGGAATCCTTGGATTTGTAGTTGAGGGAGATTTTTCAGTTAGAGGGTTGTATTGCCTACAAACTACAGGATTTCATAGAATGTTGCGGTGGCTGTTAAAGCGAAATAAAATATTATGAAGGTGTAATGTGATTGGGCCTCAAGTGAAGTCTGACCAAAACAATATAGAATAATGATCTCATTATTTTGTTCTTAGATTTTGTAAGACGAAATCGTCACCGAAAGCAAGCTGTGAAGAGATTGTGGACCCCACAAATTCTGGGTACCCAAAGGCCAACAACAATAGCCTAATCTACAGCAACATTTTGCCTATGGTAGGTATTACATGTGGCTATGCTATTCTACATTCTCTTGGGCTGTAGGCAGAAGACAAATAGCTAAAGGTTTAATTATCCAGGCTTGAGATCTTGATTCCCCTTCACTTAAACTAGATTAAACTCCAGATTCTACACTTAAACCCATAGGGAATTAATCTATACATGTCTACTGAAAACCAGGTCCCTTTGAGCTCAAGACAACTTTCTCCCAGTTTGGTCCAGTTGTAACTGCACCATTATCTTGATGATATGAAATCCAGTCCCTTTCCATTGCTAGGGCTCACAGCATGTCAGAACAAAAAGATCATAACATTGTGGTTATATTTATACTGGAATTTATTATTATCCCGTTTCTAACTACTGTATATACTCAAGTATAAGCTGAGTTTTTCAGCCCCTTTTTAGGCTGAAAAAGCCATTTATTATTTTATTCTGTTATTATTATTATTATTATTATTATTATTATTACATTTATTATTTTACTCTAAATATTATTATTACATTTACATTATTTTACTCTATTTATTATTGTTATTATTACATTTATTATTTTTCTCTATTACTATTACTTATTATTTTACTCTATTATTATTGTTTTTGTTAATTTCCATTATTTTACTCTCTTTATTATTATTGGGAGGATACATAAGCACATCTACATTGAAGGAGGTTAGAATAATGGTTTAATCAGAGTTAGACAGTCTTATCTTAAATTACACTTTTATGTTAATATTCAAAAAGATTTAACCTACTGATGCCTCAGTTAATGTAATTTTAATGTAATTTTATTGGTATCTATGTTAATTTTGAAATTTACCAGTAGCTGCTGCATTATACTTGAGTCAATATGTTTTCCCAGTTTTTGTAGTAAGATTAGGTGCCTTGGTTTATATTTGGGTTGGCTTATACTCGAGAATATACGGTAAATATCAAAAGCAATAATGTAAGGCCACACAACAAATTATAGTTTCTTATCCATATCTTAACTGCAGCTCACCATTTGTAAAGCAGACTTTTTTTTCAATAAGGATTGAGATGACTTGAAAAAGTTACTTTTTGTCCAAACCAATTGGAAGATTTCTGCAAGCTGTAGTTTTAAAAAGAGTAATATTCACAAGCTGTGGAATCTAGCAGCCCATAATTTGGTTACCTGGACATAACTAACACATCCTACTGGATGGATGTATTATTGGCATATGCACTGAATGGCGTACTGTATCATCATGCTAGGGCTGTCCAACCACGGAAAAATTTGTTTCTAAACTCGATTCGTTTTTAGGTTTTTTTTGCGTTTCGTTATTTAAAAGAATTCCAAAAATTTTCTTTTAAAAAGTTCGATATTTACAAAATTTCGGAAATTACGAAACAATTTCAAAACAATAACGAATCGATTCGTTAATGGAGGACGCGATTGCGCAATACGCTAAAAAACCCTCCAAATGGGACAGGGGGAACTTCTGAAGCTTCCCTCTCCCTCTGTTGTTGACTGTTGGTGTGATAATTTTTTTTTATCACTGATAAAACAAACAACAACTATAAAACTTGCACCAGACATACGGAAATAATAACGAAATAATAACGAAACAATTTTGAAACAATTACAAAACAATTTCAAACCAATTACGAAACGAATTGGAAAAATTCGTTTCATTTTTTAGTTGCTCCTGAATGGTTCAATATCGCTTCGTTATAAAAAAAAAATGAATTAATAACGAATTACGAAATTAACGAACGAAACCGCCCAGCCCTACTATCAACATTTGTAGGAAATTGCACATTACAAATGGAATGACTCAGTCAAGGAAGCTACAGCTCTGAATATGTAGGATATGAACTGGACTGTGAATGACTGAGACTCTGGGAAGTCTCTCATTCATGGGGTCAGAATAAGAGGAAGCTGTTTGGATAACAAGTAACAATGACAATAACAGCAAAGTGCTATAATATACAGTCTAACATGCAAAAGTTTATCACAAGAGCCTATGTATTTATGACCTTAATCCTTAGTTACATTGCCAGGAGACATACCTCTTGCTTCTCTTTTTCTCTACTTCTGCCGCCTACGTGGCCATTGGCCTTTCTGGCTGGAGGATTTTGAGAATTATAATTCAGTAACTTTCCCAAGCTCTGATTCCTATTCAGAAGAGCAAATATTAGGTTTTAAAACTCTGTTATAAGGGAGAGATTCTCAAAACCAACAAACTCCTAATAAAACTTCACATTTAAGTTTATGAAACCTGACTCCAGTTCTTAGTGTCTCATTGCTTAGGAGCAAGTCTAGTCACAGCTTGTAAAATACATTGGACTTTAGCAGAAAATCTTTGGCCAATTGACATATAAAGTATATGGAAAAGAATCATTGCTTGGGTACTTTGAGGAAACCCATTCAAGAAAAGAAATATTCATTCTCTGACTTGTTCTGCACTACACTGGCCTTTAATAATAATCCAACCTGAAAGTCTAATCAAAGCAAAGAGGGCTGGTAAAGGTAAAGGTTTCCCCTGACATTAAGTCTAGTTGTGTCTGACTCTGGGGAGTGGTGCTCATCTCCATTTGTGATGGCACGCCTGAGCCTATGGGAAAACTATATTGTCTGACTTTACTTGAGGGCTATCTGTATACCTTCTGTTAAGATTAAGACCCTTAGCAGACAGAGACACTTTAGGCAAGGTGAAAAGAGTTTACTGAAATGGGTTTACTGAAAACAAGATGATTAAAGGGTTAATTCCACCCGCGACTATCATAAGGTTACAAAAGGAGATTTTGCTGGTTGCAATAATCTTTCTTGATTATTCTGCCTCTTCTGCAAAGTGATGGTTTATAAATTGGTGCTTAAACTGTTTCAATCTTCTTTCTTATGAAGCTTAGGCTGGCCAAAAGCTTCTGTTGTCCTTTGGACTTATCGTATAATAATACTGCTAAATGCAAGTGCTAAGAATGCCTGTTTTTGGATTGCTTCCACCTAGAATTTCCAGACAATGTCCCAAAGCTAACTATAGAAAAAAAGTTCAGCAAGTGAGATCTATAAAGGGAAATGGAATAGACCAACTAAGGCTAGCCTCTGGGGAGTGTTACGCTCCACCCAAAAATGAATACAAAGGAAGATATCTACACTATTGGGAAAACCTATAAATGGGAGCAAGTAAAACAGAGAAGAGGAAAAGGGCAGAGCCAAGATTTTACACCATTTCTAAGCTGAAGAGTTGGTATTGTCATATTGCCAGCATGACTGCATGGAGCAGCATTACCTTCCCGCAGAAGCAGTACCTATTAATCTATTCACATTTGCATGTTTTTCAATTGCTAGGTTGGCAAAAGCTGGGGCTAACAGTGACATCAAATCCCGCTTCCCAAATTCAAACTGCCAACCTTATGGTCAGCAAGTTCAGCAGCTTAGTGGTTTAGCCTGCTGTGCCACCTGGTACTCACTCAAATGTCCCAGATCTCTTCATACTCCAGTTCTTTCCCCAGTTTACCATTGCATACATGTCACCCTGGTTAATGAAATCATGTGCTCATGCTTTTATCAACACAGTCTCACAGCAGTTTGACTATTTACTGTTATATTGTTATTCCAAGGAAGAGGACAGCCTTTTTCACATGGTTTCCCTCCTCTTTTTTCTTCCAGGGTCAAAGGACTCCCTATGTTGGTCAGCCCAAGATACCTAGAGAGAAAAATGTGAAACAAGAGCAGATTCCTAAAGTTCCTGATCTGACCACAGATAAAGCAGATGAGGTCCACTATGCAGCCTTGGAGTTCAAGTTTAAAAACTCAAACATCAGTTCTCCGATTGCAGAGGAAGAAACAGTGGAATATTCAGCAATCAGACAGAAATAAAGACCTTATTCCCAATTGGGCATGAACTAGACTATTGATAGCAGGTCCTCTGATGTAAGGTCACTCAGACATCAATGCAAGGCTTGAATGAATAGAATGTTTTTCATCAAGGAGTTGGAGATGGATGTGGCAGAGGAAGAGTAAGCAACCTCTGATTTCTATGTTCTCCAAGAAAGCATTAACCCATCCTGTTACCAATAGATAGGGTAGAAGATACTTTAAGAAGCTGGTAGAGCTGGAAGACACTATTATGGAAACTTCAGCTTTTTCAGCCTGGTTTCCATGAGACCATTAGCTAGGAACCAGAAGGCTATCTTGAAGGACTTAGCTAATTAGCTAGGAACCAGAAGAATATGTTGAAGGACTTAGTCATTTTCTCAACAATAAGCAAAATGCACCCATCAATGGTATGTGTAAACCTCTTCCTGCCCAAAGCAATTGGTCAAACTAATGTGATAAGAAAAGTTCACTATCTTCAAGAAATGGGTTTGATAAAATTATGTCCACAAGCCACCAGTGGCTCTTTGGGACCCTCAGGGGTCATTTTAAATTTCTTTTCATATTTTGCACACCAATTCCCTCCTCCACCCACACACAATGTATTCTGGGGTGTTCTTGGAGAATTACCACAATGTTTTGGACCCTTCCTGGGCCAATATATGCTAAGGAGTGGTAGTTTTCGAAACATGAGGTAACTTCTGCTCATTTCCTGTTGTTAAAAAAGGGTCTGTCATAGACCTAAAATGGTCAAGGAAGGCCCAACACCATAGTGAAAATCCCACATGGTATTTGGGGTCAAACAATATTTTGTTGGGCAGGAATGGTATTGAGAGGGGACCCTTCAAGGTTGCTTTGGGGCTAATCAAGCCTTCTACCTTTCCAGAATTACCCACCCCAGTTCTGGAGCATAGAGATTTAATTTGAAAATTTCAAATTTTTTAAATAGGAAATACGTTCTGCAGCTCTATTATTCTCAAGTATTTTCAACAAGTGCAAATGTTTTTGATTCTGTGTTTTTAAACAGCATTATTTTATGTATTTATTTATTTTATGTTTTGCTATATCTTCCCTTTGTATGATAAAAATAATATCATGTGGTCAATGTTTTACATATTTAGCTCTTTTGGCAATGGTTGCTTTTTCTCATCTCTCAATAATAAATCTCTGTACGTTATACAGAATGGAGGAGCTTATGTGTCCTTTCTTACTTGGGCATTACCATATCTTGGTCACAAGTGTTCAGAAATGGAAATAAACAACATAATCTGAGCAGCAAACTTGTTGTGTGATCATCTATTGAGTGATTGGAGCATTGCTTCTCAAACTGTGGGTCTGGACCCCAAATGGGGTCTCTCCTTAGCTCAGTGTTTCTCAACCTTGGGGTTGGGACCCTTGAGGGGGTTGTGAGGGGGTTTCAGAGGGGTCACCAAAGACCATCAGAAAACACATATTTCTAATGGTCTTTGAAACCCCTTTGACAGAGAAGGCTGAAAATCTCTCTGCCTGCCCTTCTCTTCATTTTTGGAAACAGACGCCAAATCCTCCCACCAAAAGCTTTTCTCCTGCTCTCTGGAGGTAGGTGAACTAACACTCCAAAATTCAAGGTCAATGCCCATCAAACCCTTACAGTATTTTCTGTTGGTCATGAGGGTTCTGTGTGGGAAGTTTGGCCCAATTCTATCGTTGGTGGGGTTTAGAATGGGGTTCAGAATGCTATTTCATTGTTGGTGAACTATAAATTCCAACAACTACAACTCTCAAATGGCAAGGTCTATTTTCTCCAAACTCCACCAGTGTTCACATTTGGGCATACTGCGTATTTGTGCCAAGTTTGATCCAGATCCATCTTTGTTTGAGTCCACAGTGCTCTATGGATATAGGTGAACTACAATGCCAAAACTCAAGGTCAATGCGCACCAAACCCTTCCAGTATCCTATCACAGTGGGAGTTTTGTGTGCCAAGTTTGACCGCAATACCCGCTGTAGCCAAATGTGGTTACATTTGAGCGGCGTCTGTGTAGTCACTTGGCTGTTTTCCTTCGGCGGACGTTATCGGTGGCTTACCGAATATTGGGTAGTAGGGTTGTGCTGCGATTACTCGGATCTTGTTTGTCGTTGGATTCAGGCTGCTTTCTTTGATTGTGAAGTAGAACTCTTATAATGCCACCGCAACTAGCACCTCGCAAAATACAAAATATCAATTCAATGGGGGGGTGATGGGGGTATTTAGTGCCAAATTGGTCGGGCTTAGTGAAATGAAAATACACTCGCTGCATAATGCAGATATTATACATATGACATTCATAAGCCGTACACCATATAATGACAGCTTGATGAAGTAGCACTAAAATAATTTTATGGTTGGAGGTCACCACAACATGAGGTCACCATGACTGCTTTGATATTCTGGGTTATATAACTGTGTGGAAGGTCTCCGAGAATTTGTACAATTTTCCCTAGCCAGGAATTACAGTGTATTGCAAAGTGCATTCATATCCAGCTTATTCAACAGGTTAGAGGTCAAGATGCTGTTAAAATGTTAATGGTTGGAAAACAGAACCCAAGGGGGAGGGTTAGCTTGCAAATTCAAGATTGGACACTAGATGGTGTAGAGTCAACTGAGAGAAGGAGGGAGGGGAACTACGTTGAATATATTTTTTAAAGTAGTGCTTAGAAGATAAGGAGGCATATGCATATCTATGCTCCCCCCAGGGCTGATTCAGTGTGTCTGCATTGTCACACATCCTGCTGCCCCAGCACTGATGAATGTTGCCCTCTTGCCAATATAGTAACAAGCAACCAGGAACATGAAATCACCCTCCATGTTGCTTGTAACCAGTGTGATACTCGCCAAAGTGTTAACATGATTTGGAAAAGTATTATTTATTTATTTCATGCATTTCTACCCAGCCCTTCTCCCCCCCCCCAGAAGGGGGACTCATATATCCTTCAAAAGTAGCATGAAAGAGGTATGTCCGTGTAAATAACAGCAACCAGTTCCAAATCTAGCACAATAATTCCACTTCTTTGGTTGCATCCCATGGAAACCTGGAGTTTGTACCTGGGTGAGGACTAGTGTCCTCTGGTTAAGAATTCTGAATAATCCTTCCTAAACTGCAAATCCCAGGATTTCAAGGGATATTGCCATGATAGTTAAATTTTATTTACTTATTGTGTCAGAAGTGAATTGAGGGTACAGTTAGGTATTTTTTAAAAATACAAACAATGTTAGTGCTGTTCAGCAGTGGAACTCTCTGCCTCGGAGTGTGGTGGAGGCTCCTTCTTTGGAGGCTTTTAAGCAGAGGCTGGATGGTGATCTGTCAGGGGTGCTGTTGTAGTTCAGTCTGCAATTGTGTCTGATGTTAATGGGGATGATGGTTTTCCTGGGTCTGTGTCTGATGTCAATGGGGATTAGGATTTTCCTGGGCGTGAGTCAAGCCCAGGCCTTGCTGAGAGGCCTGAGGTTCCTCATGAACTGAGTGCTTCTCCTGTAGATTCCCAAGGTCAAATTCCTGGAAGAGGCCCACAGCAGTATTTCTCTGAGAAACTGTCTTCTGAGAATGATTTGTCAGGTGCAGAATTTAATGAGTTTGAAGATAGAAGACAAGATTTTTGTAAATTAAGACAAGGTTGGGTTGTTGTAGGTTTTTCAGGCTATATGGCCATGTTCTAGAACCATTCTCTCCTGATGTTTCACCTGCATCTATGGCAGGCATCCTCAGCCATATAGCCTGAAAACCCTACAACAACCCAGTGATTCCAGCCATGGAAGCCTTCGACAATACATTAAGACAAGGTTCTCAAGATCGCCGAAGGTCTGCGGGAAAAGAGAGATAAGAAATCCTTATCTGGTTCTAAAGGCAAACGGAATGCTTTCCTTTCATTTTATGGGACAGGAAAAACTTTATATGAGGTGGGAAAGGATTTTAGCTCAGTCTCATCAATGTTGAAGTTTCATGACAGTCTTGTTTCTAAGTGGATTTCTAATTTCATGTTTCAAGTTTTTGCCAGGTTCCTGTTATGTTTATTGGATTTCTATGCTGTCTTGTTCTTTTGGATTTTGCATCCTTGAATCTTGGGTTTTTACCTTTGTACCTTGAAGTTCATGGACTATTTGTTACCTTTAGAACTTTGGAAAACACTGTTCTGGACTATACTGTTTCTATCATTTTTATTGCTTTGCTTACATATATCCTTCAATAAACTGCTTGTTGATTTTACTATACTGGTGTGGTGTTTAAGGACAGAGGTGTTCCTGCTCTGGGATACAACAGGTGTTTTGAATGCATCTTTCCTGCTTCTTGGCAGGGAGTTGGACTGGATGGCTCATGACATCTCTTCCAACTCTATGATTCTATCATTCTAGAAACTTGGCATTATACTAGATTTCCTTTGACCAGAAACTGGCCACTTGGAATGCCTCTGGTATCGCTGTGAGAAGGTCCTCCATTGTGCATGTGACAGGGCTAAGGCTGCATTGTAGTAAGTACTGTAGTTTGCTCTTCTCCAAACTCGCATGTTGTGGACTTCACTTTGTAGCCCCATTTCTTAAGGTTAGCTCTGCATCTCGTGGTGCCAGAGCACAGCCTATTCAGAGCCTTCCAAGTCGCCCAGTCTTCTGTGTGCCCAGGAGGTTCCATTTTGAGCAATAGTTTAAACCCTTGTGCCGGCTGAGAAGCGAGAAGCGGGGTGAGCCCCCATTTGTCAACCACAGCTTCTCATGCGGGGACATGAGAGAAGCTTCCCACAGGATGGTAACAAATACGGATGTCCCCTGAGCAACATCCTTGCAGATGGCCAATTCTCTCACACCAGAAGTGACTTTCTCAAGTCACTCCTGACATGAAAAAAAGAGACTAGTTCCTCATGAATCACACTTGGGCAACAGAGTCTAAGACACTCTGGCCATTACAGAAAAAAAAATGAAAACAGGATATCTGTGAAACATTTCCAAGAAATCAAGACATTGAAATATGTGTTAAAGTGATTAGGAGAATTAGCCAAGGTCAGAAACAGAGAATATTATTATTATTATTGTTAATAAGAATAATCTTTATTTGTATTGTGCCACCATCTCCCCAAAGGGGCTTTTAATTGGGATGTTTGTGTACTGAATTTGAAAAACACAATAAAATGTTACGCTACTCACAGTTCATTAACTAAGTCAATTTTTTACTTTCACATAATATTTATTGTGGTTTTTTTCATAAAAGATAAATTTAAAATAGAATTTTGACAAAAGTACAAGTGGAACAAAAGATGAAAAAGAGCAAACAAGAAAGAGAAGAAAAGAAGAAAGAAGAAAAAAAGGAAAATGAAAAGAAAAGAAAAGAGGGAGGGGAACAGATTATATAAAAATAGAAGTCGAATTTTTTTAAAAAAATCATTCAGTTGTTCAATGCTAATCAAGGCGGCCAATTGCAATATTCACACTTGCCTTCAACATATATAAACCCCACTTGCCTAGTTCACAACACTCACAACCTTTGAGGATGCCTGCCATAGAGGCAGGCAAAATGTCAGGAAAGAATGCTTCTGGAACATGGGCATACAGCCCGGAAAACTCACAGCAACCCAATGATTCTGGCCATGAAAGCCTTCGATGACAAATTCAGTTGTTACGCAGTTTTGGTTAAGAGCAGGTGCTGATTTTTTTTTTTGAGTACTTTTGAACAGATTTTTGTGCTTCATATCAGCAAATTAATGTGTTTTGGAAGCCTATTAGAACACTTGAACACCTTTCTTACTGTTTATTCTCAACTTACTCAGATATTTTAAAATACAAATATCCTACAAAGCAAGTTGTGTGTGTGTGTGTGTAAGTTGTGCGTGCTATACATAATGGAGGCAAATCTGAGTTTTGAATTTAGAACTTACTTTTTTTTATCTCCCCAGTCCGAACTTCAGTTTAAGGCAGGGGTCCTCAAACTAAGGCCCGGGGGCCGGATACGGCCCTCCAAGGCCATTTACCCGGCCCTTGCTCAGGGGCAACCTAAGTCTGAAATGACTTAAAGGCACACAACAACAACAAGCCTATCTTATCAGCCAAAAGCAGTCCCACACTTCCCATTGAAATACTAATAAGTTTATATTTGTTAAAATTGTTCATTTTAATTATTGTATTGTTTTAAAGAGTTTTTGCACTACAAAGAAGATATGTACAGTGTGCATAGGAATTCATTTATGTTTTATTCAAATTATAATCCAGCCCTCCAACAGTTTGAGGGACTGTGACCTGGCCCTCTGTTTA